TGACGGAGCTGCTGTCAGGGGAGCAGCGCCGCCGCTACTCAGACCTCATCTCCTCCCCCCACCTGCCGGCCATGCGGCCGCCCGTGCCGCTGTCACACGTCGACCGCCCAAAGCGCCTGCCCTCGGCGCCGCAGGGCCTGCTCGATGGCGGCGCCGGCGGCAGCGGCGGCGGCGCCGCGGAGTATGCGACCCCGCCGCGGCGGGCGGCGCCGCCGGGGCCACCGGGGCGCGGGCCGGCGGGCGGGGGCGCCAACGGCGTGCCGCAGACGCCCACAGCACGCCGCGCGCCGCCGCCGCCCCCCAAGTGACCTGGCTGCTTCTTTTGTCTACTGGTGAACCCTGCTGAACTGTTCTTGGCCCTTGCCAACCTTTCCACGTGCTGCTGGTGCATGGGTTCACCAAGGTGTGCCTGACCTCTGCACTTCATCCTTCTGACCCGCCATCGTACCTGGCACTGCAACCGCATTCTTGGTCTTACAACCTGCCACCTCACACACACCAACTCACTGTTCCATTTCCTGGTTGCGCATTACAATGAGTTAACAATTTCTTGGCATGTAAACACAGTCACCCGTTGCGCTTTGATTGATGAAGACGTGGAAAGCCAATTACTAAGTACCACCTGACAGCAAAACGGAATGGTTTTCAAGACAGCAGGTGCGTTCAAATGACAATCCACCACAACTGGCTCTTTGCCTTGACTGGCAACCGCCTACAGGACCACGACTGCTGAAATTTCGAGTGGCAGAAAGGCATCTTCAGCCCGGCACGTGTGCTGTGTGTGACTGCTGTACAACTCAGCAGCAAGGATGGGTGTTCCACAGAAGGGCCTGCTGGCCTACGAGCTGATAGACATGGCAGGGTCAGCTGGACACATGTATAACTGTAGATAGGGTTCAGGAAAGCCAGTCATGACAATGGCTGCCATACTTCACTACTAATTGGCTGGGCTCAAAACAGCTCAACAGACACACCCACACGGGCCATCACAACCTGGGCCTGCTCAAAAGCGGCGCCAGCACCCTCGCCAGAGCCGCGGCAGCAGCGGCTGCGGGGCAGGCGCAGGTTGACTCTGGCCAGGCTGGCCGGCCTCAGCGGCCCGGCGAAGACCGCCCCCACCTCCTGAATCAGCTCGGCTGTCACCCAATTCACCTCCTCCTCTCCGTCCGTCGGGCCGACGTCGCAGCACCAGCGGCCGTCGGGCTCCGGCCCGCCGCCGCCGTGACGCGGGCTCACGCCCCTGCTGCACCCACAGCAGGCGGCCCCGTCGCCAGGCTGCTGCAGGCCGTAGAACGATTCAATGCCGACCTGCAGGCTCTCCAGGACGGCAAAGCGTGGCAGGCAGACGGCCAGGCACTCTGACAGCGCGTCAAACCTGGCGCCCGCAACAAAGGCACAGGGCTCCAGGTGCAGGCGCCGCAGGGTCGGCCCCAGCCGCCGCCCCAGCGCCGCGAGCGCGCCGCCCATGTCGAAGCACTGGCTGCCACATGCCGCCACCCCGCCCAGCTGCAGCGACACCAGCTGGGTCCACCCCTTGGCCCAGCCGCGCAGCCGCGCCGCGCCGGCCGCAGCGGCGGCGG